TCCCCCTCCCCCTCCCCCTCCCCCTGGTCCCCCCGGCGGCGGGGTTGTGGGGGGGGGGGGGGCCAGTGAGGGGCTCCCCCCTCCAGAACATATTAGCCGGGTTTCATGGAGACATTTGCGAGTGGGGAAGAGAGGTCACGCTGCAGCCCGTCTGCTTTATTAGACGCCTTTGGCAAGGTGCTGTTGAACTTTCCCGTTTGGGGTTTTATTTATTTCCCATAATTTACAGAAAGGTGACCTTTCTCCAGATTAACTCATTCCACCACCCAAACTGTCGGCTTTGCTAATTGAGTTGCAGCCCTTTTGGGTTTTCAAGGTTAAGCATAAATTACTTGCAAGTGGCCTGAGTAGCAGCGAACAGGAAGGAAGGGGACCATGCACGGGATCAGGCCAGGGCGTTGAGAGAGGAATGGGGTGCTTCGGAGCATGGGCAGAGTGCATCAGTGTCTTGGCTCCCCAAGCTGTAGAGGAAGGGGAACCGGCTTTGGGTATTTTTGCATCCTTCGGACCTGTAAGGAGTTTAGAGGGGATATTTCAAAGCTTAGTGTGTATTTGGTGGATTAGGCCCCCCCATTGTGCTGGGAAGAGCGCCTGCGCACCAGGGATGTGGTGTCAGCAGAGAACAGGACATCTGCCCGCCCCCCCAGCACAGGCCATTTTACAGCTCACCAAACGTACAGCTCTCTGTTGAGCAGTCAGACTTGAGACTGGCCAGTCCAAGCCCCTGGCAGGCTGGCATGAGCAGCGTTTGAATGGGTACGTCATGCCTTCATCCTTCCTTCTCTCCCCAGTGCTAGCGTGGCTTTCATAGCCCCCAGCCCTGCAAGGTGGGATGGGGGTATTCCCAGGTCACCCAGGGGTGCATATGGCTGTCGGGGGTTGGAAGCTGGCCTTCCTGTGCCCCCTTGATGCCAGGCTTCCAGAGTTTATTCCATACCCAAAAAGGCTGTTGGCGGCGTCCAGCATCATCAGGTCACCCAACCACGTCCCCAGCACAACCCAACGCACGTAGAGAAGGCCGTACGACACGATGCATTGAAAAGTCACCCCAAGCAACCTCTCAGATGCCATCAGTGAAGAGACTCTGACTTTCGTTGTGTGAAAGCTCTCTGTTTAGTCATTTCCAAAAGAGCAGATAGAGACAGGGTGGGTTGTGATGCCAGCGGTGCGCCATCTAGCACAGCCACTGACTGTGCTGCAGATGGGCTGGGCTGGGAGTTGTACTCCCCGCGCATCTGGGAGCCATCCCGTCAGTGGCCCAAATGCTGGAGCAATCCTGGTTTTAAGACCCTTTGTGCTTCTCCTCTGCCACCGGCAGGCCCCCCTCCGCTCCCCTTCCCCTCTGCCAGCGAGGCTGCCCTGCCCTTTATCTCGCTGGCGGGACCTTCGCTGAGCCTCATGCGGGAGATAAGGCCCCTCTTATCCCTGGCGAAGGTGCCAAGAGGCCCGTCATTGGCATGCTAGGACAGGTGATGGGGGATTATTAAAGTTGCAGAGAGCTTATAAATAGCTCTGATTTTCACGACAGGCTTTCAAAATTAGCAGGCGTTAGAGAAAAGGCTGTGAAATGGGTACTTATCCGAAAGGCTGTTAGAATGGCTTCGAGAAGGGAGCTATTTTTAAAGGCGCTGCAGTGGCACGGAGGGTAGGCATTATCTCCCGTGTGGGGGTGTTGGGAGCGGGGAGGCGTCCAGCAAGAGACAGCCGCCACCTCTACCTGGACGGGCAGGAAGGGGTTGGAGGACAGAGGCGTCTGCAGGGGCTCCTTCGCAGGTGGCCCTTCTGAGGGCGAGGGAGAATGCGAGGGCAGGGGAGGGACTTGGCAGATGGGGAGAACTGCTGAGCCCGCCCGCGCTCCGTGCGGATCCGGCTGCCAGTGAGATCCAGGAGGGCTGGGAATGAATTCGAATGCGCAGGGAGCTAAGTGGGCTCAGACTTTTTTGCATTAGTGAGCACTCTGTGACATCACAGCAGATGAGCCAATAAGCTGGAGAGATTTGCAAGCAGGTTCAAATGGGCGGTTACTCTGCTATTTGGAGAAAGATGCCAGGATTCGGGCTCACTTCAGTTCCTTGATCTTTCCAAGAGGCAGAAACTCGGAGGCCCGAAGGGGTCCTGGCGTATTTTTGGCTCTGCCATTCCGAGCTCCTCCTCCTCTCGGCAGACGGGTGCCCGTGCAAAGCCTCCTGCCCCCTGGCCTGGATGGGACTCTCCTCTCAGAGGCGGAAGGTGCCCGGCGGTCCAAATCCCCCAAACGGCTTCTCTGGGGAGAAGGGGCTGGGGATCTGCCTGCAGGGTGAACCTCCAGGGCCAGGCAGGAGAAGCCAGGGCAGTAAGCTGAGGCTGGAGGCCCAGCTGGCTGGTCAGCAAAGGTTAAGCGGCGAGGCGTAGGATGGGCAGAGCTCTGCACCTGAGCAGAGCCGCCGGGCTCCTGCCACGCCAGCCTGGGGCTTCAGGGAGGCCCTCGGGCAGAGCCGGGGCCGTGTGGGAGAAGGCCGGCGTCCCACCGCAGGAACGGGGTCCATCCAGTGTCGCAGGCAGCAGGGCACAAATACGCAAATCAAGGCAGAAAGTGCCAGGTCCCCCCAGTTCAGCCTTACGAGGCCTTGCCCCCGAGACCCTTCTCCAGCAAAGGGTATCTCTTACCCTGCTCGAGAGCCAACCCCGGAACTGCCGAGAGAGGGACCCAGCTTTGGAGGAGCCGGCCGGCTGGCCGTGGGCTTCGAGTAACCCTCTTGTGCCCAGCCGGTTGGGGTCTGTCGTGCCGCTTGGTCCGCAGCCCCTCTCCTCCTGGACCGGGGGTGCTCGGCTGCTCCCGGGCCCGAAGTCGAGGATGGGATGGCGAGGGGCGAACGGCCGTGGACCCGATTCCCGAGCAGCCCGGCTCTGTCGGGTTGGGCGCCTGCGCCGGCAGCTCCCTCGCCTCGGACTCGTCCCCTTGAATGTTCTGAAAGGACTCGAGGTGGGAATCGGGCCCCTGCTCTCCCCTGCAAGTCGCGTTAACAAGGGATTCGTAATCAAGGCCCGTTTCGCCTGCGTCTCCCAGCTTTCTCTTAAAGACAGTAATAGGCGAAAATTGGCTGTGAGACAGAATAAAAGTCCCTTTCAGAGTAAAAATCGCTTCTTTCAAGGTGGCTTCGTGGAAAATGAAATAGCTGGTGATGATGAAAGGTGGCTGTGTCTCAGACTTCGGGTTTCTTTTTCTTTCCTTTTTAGAGAGAGAGGCTGGTACAGATGGGGGGAACCTAGATTGAGATAATTATGTGGTAACGAACTCTTGTTGTGAAATTAGCATCTTAAGAAAGATAGTGAAAAGGGCTTTTATTCATGAATACTTCATTAGTACCAGGAACAGGAGCCTTGGCAGCTCCAGGCGCATGTTCAACGTGAGGAGCGGATGTTTTGGTTCCTCTGGGTGCCCACCTCTGTCTCCGGGTGGGCTGGCTGACCGCCACTGCCTTTGCCGAAAGGGCCCAAATGGCCTTTCGCCCCAACCCTGGGTGTGCATGCTCTTGGGAACCAGTTGACACGCGCGCATACACGTCTGCACACACACACACATGCGCGCACACGCCCCAGCTTGCAAGAGCCGTACCCAGGGGTTCAGCCCTCCCATTTCAAGACAACTGTCTGTGACTTCATTTAGGAATCAAACCAGTTGAATGAAGTCTCATTCTGTTTGTGCTTTTCAGTGCATTGTTAATCGAGTGACTCATTTTCCAATCATGCTCTTGTTTTACGCACTATTTCTTTTTATTTCTCCCCATAACTATCAAAGAGTTAAATCTGCTTCGGCTCCCCGTGCGGTCCCGGGCGTATTCACAGGTAGATCCTTGCTGCGTGCGTCTCTCCTGCTTCTCTGACAGAGAGTGTCCGTAGGACCAGAACTGGCACCCGGGTCTGTCCAGAAACAGGCCGCGGTTAGTCGTTGCCACGGTCTGGCAGGCAAACTCCTGCAGGCACAGAGTTTAGGAACGATAATCTTAATGCTGCGTGGTTGCAGTCCTAAAGCGGTATTTCTGTCTGTAAAGAGTGAAACCTGATCCAAAGAATGAATATATTTTGAGATGAGAAAAGGACGCAGGACAGAATCGAGGGGAGAGGAGGGCAGAAATGTAAAACTTTCCCCTAGTTCTGAGGAAGGGGGCTGGAGGAGTTAGGCAGTGTTACTCTGCAGAGTTCTCTTGAACGGCGAGAAGCCGCCCCCGTCGTTTTCAGGATTCTGGGCAAAGGGGCTATGGAGCCACGGGAAATCATTGCTTCGCGCGGGTGCCTTTCCCGTGCCGGGATGAGAACAGGAAAGGAAGCCGTTGGCTGGGGTCCCCGCTTGCTCGGGGGGGGCTTTCAGCCACCTCCCCCAGCATCTGCCCAGGGTGCGCGGGGAGGAGGACGCTGGGCGAAATTGCACTGGCATAACCATTAACCAGTTCAGAGGCGACGGAACGGATGCCCCAACTTGATTGGGACTGAAGGGGCAATATCCTGGGGGGCAGGAATCCCGTGGCAGCTGAAACCAGGACGGGGGGGGAGTGCGTCGCTTACAAGCAGGGGTCCTTTCCCCCCCCCCCACCCCACCCCCCGTGTTTGACTGACAGACTAATCCTGTTTGTCTCCTCTGGGTCTCTTTGCAGGGCGCTCTGGAGTGATGCCGCCGGAGACATCTCGCCCTCTCTTCCGCCATGTTGGCCTGCCTGCAGAGGACCCAGAACCCGCCAAGGCAGCATCTGGGGTGTCCGAATAAGGCCCTGGAGCAACGCAAGGGTGAGTCGCTCTGGGCCGGTGGCTGCGGCCAGGCGGGCGGAGGCAGCCCCGCTCGTCCTGGAGTGGAAGTGACCCTTGGCGTGGGTGCCGTACAGGGCACGGCCAGGCCAGCTTCTCTGTTGTAGCTTGGCGTTGCCAAGGCTGCCTGTCAAATTGCCAGAGGCGAGTGTTGCCCTCACGTGCCAGCTGGTGCTGGCTGGATTTGTGCACCTGAGCCAAACCCCTTCCAAAGTTTGATTGCAAGGGGGACTCCGCCTGTGGGCGTCCGGTGGAAGCCCCGATGACGTCACACGCGTCGTGACATCATTGCGCGTTTGCCAGGGGGGTCTCCCGATGCAAATTCTGTTGCCCTCTCCCCCTCACCCCAGGGGCTTGGGGAGAGTTTCCTTTATAATACTGCTGCCCTGCACCACTTTTCTGTCACGGGCAGAATCAAAAGAAAGCCAAGCTGCTTTTAAACAAACAAATGTAAATCAACAGGAGAAAAATTTCCAAATCGGAGAAAGAGAAGAGGGGCCAAATGCCCAGCGGTTGAGGGGGGTGGCTGGCATTTGGGGAGATGTGGAAGTGGAGGGCAAAGGCCCCAGGCAGGGGAGAATGGGTCTCTCGCTCTGCTTTCCGCTTCAGCGCCCTCTCGCCTGGCCAACGAAAGGGCGCGTCTTCACCTAATGCCCGGAAGAGAACAGGGGAAGCAGATGGGGAGTGGGGCAGGAGGATCCGGGGGGTGGGACAAGCGGCGGCAAGTGGAAACGCCTCTGAGAGCCGTGGTGGGAGGGGCCCGGGGCCCTGCTGTGGCTCTGCCCCGTCACCCGTTTGGCAGGGCCTCTCCTCTCCCTCTGAATCCGGCTTTCTGCGGTTGGAGGTGAGGCGGCCTTTTGTAGAACCTGAAAATAGCTCCCCAGAGCTCCCTCGGCAGAGCACCTGTTCCTCGCGGGCTTTGTCTCTAAATCCAAAGCTGTGATTAAATGTATATTTAATGAGCCCGGTTTAGGCGGGCAGCGTCGACCTCTTTGGCTGCAAAGGCACATTAAGATTCTCAAGTGATTATTGTGTCTTTTAAACGGGGGGGGTGGTTGTTGTTGTTGTTGTTGTTACTGTTCCCCCCCTTTACGCCACACGTTTCTTATCCGCTGCAGTTGCCGCAGCGGTTTGGCCCGTGGGCTGGCCAGACCCCTTTCTTTTCTTCCCTGGCTGCAGTTAAATTCTGCTGTTTAAGAAGGGGGTGAAGAATTGGGGGGAGCAGAAAAAGTGGGAGATGTAGGTTGGCCTGGTTCCGTGTCTTAACGTTTGCGCTCTCGGCCTTCTGAAAGCGGCCTTCCGCCAGTCAGACCTTTCCATGCCCTGCTCAGGTCCTGATCCTCTGCAGCTTGCACTGGCCAGCCTTCTCTCTGGAGCTCTTCTGAGAGACGCAGGAACATCCTTCCTGATGCGCTGGAGTCACTCTGGAAACGACCCCAGTGTCTCCTTCCCAAGTGGGTTAGGCTGGGCTTTTCCAGCGGTGGCCTTACCGGTTGTCCTTCTGCCTGCTTTCTCAGCAGCAGCAGCAGCAGCAGCAGGCTTGATGCTGGAGAGGAGAATTTGTCAGCTGAACGCACGTGGCGTATGCAGCGTGCAGGATTTCAATTTTGCTCAATGCCAGTTTTAACTGAGCTGGGCACCAACTGAGTTTGTTTGCGCCTCTCTCGGCCTGGTCACTTTTACAGCTGCTTGGCAAGAGGGAAATCACATCTCTCGCTTTGCTCCCCCTCCTCCAAATTAAGTGTCAGGCAGCCCCCACACTGGGCATCGACTTGCGAAGGCGGTTTTTCCCCTTAGCTGTTAATTCCACCCACGGCCAGGTTGATGGGCTCGGAGGAGAAGCTGCGCTGAGTGGCACACGGGTTGCCAGGGATGGGTGGTCCCTTGCCTTAGATTGGGGGCACTGGGGAGGCTGGAAGGGGGGGCTGGGCTGTTTTTGTGCTGTCCTTCCAGATTGCTCGCTCAGTAATCAGAAAAGATAGCGCTTCTTAAAACTAGACATGATTTAGAAGCGCCTCTGATTACTTAATTTGCTCCCGAGTATCTCGGTAATTATCTTTATGGGCCTTATTTCATGTCCTCTGGCTTCGTTTCCGTCAGCATTAAATAAGTTGGCCGCCCAGCACGGCCTGCCATGGCTGCAAAATCCTATTACCCGGCCCGTGCCGTTGATTAATTTCTGTATTAATTTTGCGTCAAAGGTGTGCCTGCTAATATTTGCCCTCCTGCCTGTGCTGGAGCCCCAGGAAAGACTGCCATTTCTCCCAGCCCCCCCTTCCCTCTCCAGACTTTTCTAGGCCCCCTCCCCTCTCTTCCTGGCACACCTGTCTTCGCCCAGAGCGTCCAGGTTGGCTTGGCTGCTCAGCAGGTTGGTGCAGAAACTGTGCGCCTCCCGGGCACTCCGCCCCCAGTGCACAAGGACGGTGAGAGACGTGGGAGGGGTGCCGAGAAGGGAGGAGGAGGGCCAGGCATGTGTCTTCTGGGCCTTTGCAGGAGCCTCTTTCCGAGTCAGGCCCGTTACGGGCACAGCACCCTACAAGAGCTGCTCTGCCAGAGGGTGAGAGACTGTCGAGGACTGTGGCACCCGATACCCAGGGAAACCTTGGGTGCTTTGCGACCTGACTGTGCAAACGTGAAAAGAAAGTTCAAGGGTGAGCACCAGGTCCTGGCGCTAGCAGCTGTGGGGTGACCCAGAGCATCGATGCCCTGTGCGTGCAGGTCGGCCTTGGCGTTCTGCCCAAGGCGTGCCCGCCGAGTGTCTGGATCTAGGAGGAACGGAACTGCCCGTGGACCCTGAAAATCTTGGTGCCCAGCATGGAGGCCTCCCAAAAGTTGCAACCAAATTGCTGGTTGTTCATGAGACAGAAGGGGGACATTATTAAATATGTCCCTGAAAAGTTACCCGACCAGCTACCTTGAAATGATGAACATAGGATGCAAATTCTGTCCAGTCCGCTTTGGTTTTCCTTTTGGGAGTCTGACCCCACCTTGGCTCTCCAAGGCCAAGTAAGTGGTCCCGGGGAAGGGGGGCAGTTGCATAATCCTCCCTTAATTGAATTAGTGAATGTGGACAAGCCTCTTCACCAAAGCACAACCAATTTCTTTGTGGTGCCAACAAAGCACAATCTGTCCCATTGTGATGCAAACACAGCCCTGTTTCTTCCACTTGTCACGTGCAAACTAAGCATTTTACTCCCTCATTCTCAGCCCGCAAAACAATGCAGCCCTCAACTAATCCCGTTCAGAAGTGCCTGTCTGTAGCAGAACTCCTCTTTTAATAGCTGTATTGCCTTGTGAGCTCACACACTGGTGCGGGGGTGGGGGGGCGCTTCACCCTGAGCAGGGGGAGGAGCAGCAGAAGCCGCCTGGCTGGGGGGGCAGGCGGTGTGCACCGCACCAGCTGGGAGATAAGCGGTGCAGACTGTGCCCTTGGGCAGAGCAGCCTAGCCTGTCCACCTGTTCCCGTTTCCAGCATAAACAGGTGTGGGTTGGAAGAGCAAACTGTCCCCCCCTCGAAATTCCCAGCGGTCCTCCTGTTGCAATACACAGGAGCGCTGCTGGGCTATTCGGAAGTCGTTCTAGCCGAGGAGCCGTGGACGGGCTGCGGCGTCCTTCTGCCACGGAGCCCACGCCTCTTTGCGCACTTTCTGCCTGGGCCCGGGGAGAACAGGGGTGATCCACACTCTCACTTATGTTTTCTTTTAGAAATATGGAAGGAAAATGCAAAGCGTGGGGATCTCTAGAGGAGTTGGCTTAAAGCCCTGAGTTAGGATCTGAAGGCCATCCATTCTGCCCCTGGGTAGAAAGCAGGTGTTGTGCTTAGCCTTCTGCAAGCTGGCGCCCTCCGGATGCCAGCTTTCAGATTCCCTAGCCACCACAGTGATCTTTTGGCCAGGCTAGATGATTGGCCGTCTAACGGATAGCCACTTTTTCGGCTCATCTGCCGAGAAAGAAAATGGCCACCTACACGTTTTTCAAATATCCAGGGTCTTCTCTGTTGCCCGCTCCAAATTTAGAGGCTGTCCTTGAACCTTCTGGGTGCAAACAGAAGTGTTGAGCTCTGGAGAGTCACAGAGGGAAAGAGGGGAGAAGGGCAGGATTCGGGGCTTGCAGGATGAGAACGGGCACCTCCGCCTGGGAAGGGGGCTTGTCCGAATCCTAGCAAATCTGGAGCTTGCTTTTATTTATGAGTAAACACAACTCATGCTGCGTGTCACTTTGGCTGCTATTAAGCAGAAAAGCAGCTAGTAAATCAAATAAATGAATAGTAGCAATAAATAGCAACGGGAAGAAGGGGAACGGGTTAAGGGGTTGGCCTTGGCTGCAAAGCCCCTGGTTGATAAAAGGGTCGGCCCTTGGGTCTGAGACACCGAGCAGCTCATGGCCGGCCGGCTGCCCACCTGCTTCCTCCCGGCCCATCCAGGGCAGCAACAGCCTGGCACCCGCCCCGCCCTGCGGTCACTCCTCTGGAGCAAGAGGACTTCCCAGAGGCTGTTCAGACCTCCAGGGAAGCTTTGGAGCAGAGTAACGTTCACGTGCAAGTGGAAGGAGCAAGGTTCCTTGAAATACAGCAAAATGTCGGAGCGCCACTCTGCTTGTCCGGCACGTAGCTGGCTGGAGTGTTGGTTTTCCCTCGTCCCTTACACTCTCAGAAGCTGTTTTGCACACCCAGTTGTTGGGACTTTGCTGGCATTTCCCACCAGAGTTGACTGGACAAAACTGACGGATTGGAAATAAAAAATGCCGCCATCCAGCAAGATTTCCTCTTGAGTTTTATAGGTCACTGGAAAAACACCTTTTTTTGACAGGGAGGGGAGTTAGGGCATCTTTTTCAATTGCTCTCCCTCCCCCCGGTTTGGATTTTATTTTATTTCTTCCCCACTCCCTCCAGCTTTTTGCCAAGAGGGAATCGGTGCACTGGAGACAGAAAGATCGACAGAGTTGCCCCCCAGGCTTTTAGCTCCCCCTCTAAATGTACAGAG